AGAAAAAAATGAGAAGAGATCATATATACATAATCAATCTAATTTAATTCGATTCTATACAAAACTTACCTATCAGAAAAACTGCAGCTCCAATGAAAACAGCTCGGAAAATTTTACCAGATTTATTGGCAATGAACTCAATGAGGAATGCCAATAATCCTGCTGAGAAGGTCCCGAATCCCCTGTTCAATCCTTTGCATAAAGTTGCCCCTGTTAACATAGAAAATTGAAATTTGATAAATTCACTTACAAGAAAGATTAATTTGTGCAAATGTTACAGATATGAAACAAAAACAGACCTGCTGTGAACTCTAGGACAACAACCACAGTCATGACAGCCCAGATGGCATTGGATCCGACCACTTTGAACAATGGCTCCACCAAATATAACAAGGAAACTAGTGTCAGAGCTAGACCAACCTTCAATGAATGGATTACCCTTCTTGGATCATCCCGGCCAACTTTCCAGATCCTTTCCCACAAGAACCTTGGAAATTTTTTAATTTTCTCAGCAGAAACATGAATATGTTTCTTCCATTTCTCCTTCCCTCCTTCAGACTCACCTTCTCCACCCACTTCCATCCCTGTACCTACATGAACTTTAGTGGACATCTTTTGATGGGAAGCAGAGGAAAATACATATACGAGAAATGGAGATGAATTTTGAATAGATATGAGAATTTGAAACCATGCAGCCTGATAGGAAATTATATTAATTCAAAAATAGTGATATTTTGCGTGGACTGTAGAGTTCTTGGTGTGTTATGAAGTCTCTCAATGTTTCTCTCGAGCAAAGGTGAAACTTTATATGAGGAAGGAGATGGAGAGAGATGGATCGTGCAGTTTCTGCATTCACAGGACTTCCATTATAAAGTCCAAAGATATTGACGCATAGTACTTTCACATGGTTTCATGTCAAACAAAGAAAGAAAACTCAAATTGCCCTAATTATAGGAAGAAAAACGAACACATCATTTTCCTTTGTTTTCCACCACTAAATAATTTCCTAATTAATCATTGAGTTCTTCCCTGCTTAAGCTTTAAGAGGAAAACAAGTTTGGTTGAGTCATAGACCTTCATTGCCCGGCTGGAGCCGGTGCCATCTTTGGCATAAAATGGTGGTTGCAGGGTTGACTAACCCGAGCAAAGGGTAATAAACAGGTACAGCTAGAGGCAGCATTCAGGATCACGGGTACTGCACAGCTTAGCAAATAATGTTGTTGAAAGTTAAATTGATGGAGAAGGAAAGGGTGGCCTTCTGGGGCTAGAGTTTGCCGTTAACCTAACTTTCCCGTGGTGTGACAATTTTCAAAGGGTGCATGCACGTCTCAGTTCTCATAGTCAACAGCTGTGCCTGATTCTATATGCAGATTTTCTCGTGCATTCTCAACATCTCAACATAAAGCTCAGGTTTTGCCATGTGGTACCAATAATTAGGTTACATGCGGATGTGTGGTGCTAAACCCACTTGGAGGTTTTCTCATCAATAAGTTGAAATCAAAATTCCAGAATTTTTATGATTGATCATTTTGATGCATCATGCTGAAGTTAAATGACTTTAATCCTGAAATCTATGTACATGCAGTTAAATTATCAGTGCCATAAATAGCAAAAATACTTGCAATTCCACTGAATCCTGATGTTATTGTTTACATTCCGATGAAAGAAAACATACCTCATGCTATTTGCTCAACTCAGCTTATCAAACCTAAGGGTAAGAAACAAATACTATCAAATGTGTTTATCTTTATTGTAGTTATAGGCTAGAAGCAATAGCCAAGGAGAAGCTTGGGTTTTACTTGAATACATCTCTAGTACATGCTTATGCATCCACAAAGGAAGGAAGAGTACATATAATATTAAGCAGTCCCACTGACTGCATGGTCTGGTATACCTGAAAGACTTTCTGAGCATAATAATGTCTTGAACTCCTACCATGAACTAGCACCAAAGACACGGATTCTCTGTTCAATTGGAACACGGCAGCATGGACAGGTAGCTTTACTCTTCTTCCCATAATTGTCATTGCAATTGGCACAAAGAACCTGGTGTGCACATGGCAGGAAAACAATGGAGACTTCATCTTTCAGACAAATTATGCATTCCCTATCACAGTTTGCTTCTTTCTCAGAAGACTCCAGTTGATCTAATTCATGAAGCAAGCTGGCAATTGTTTCTCCATGTGGCTTTGCCCCTTCTGACTTTCCTGTGAGTATAGTATTTGACTGATTATTCAACTCAGTGGATTGTGCAGAGAGTTTCAAACGGTAAAGATCCTGCTCAAGTCTTTGGATATCATCCTTATGGCGCTGAAAGTCTATTTCTGTCTTTAGGCGCAAAGTCTCGAGCTTTCTTTTATTGCTTGCTTCAGCTGCCTCTTTGGAGCGTCGTTCCTCTTCCACTTGGGCCAAGGCTACTTCTTTGGCATTCAGCTCCTGCCTCCACTTTGTCTGTAAAAGTAGAATGTATCATATAATTAATTCCTCCTCTTTTTTCCAGCCTTTTATAATTCATTCCTTCTTAAAATCAAGACAAATAGAATACATGAACATATTAATAATGTGAAGGGGCTTTGGAGGGCTAAATACATTTCCAAAATTGAAGAGATAATTGTGCAGTGAAAGTTTTCATATACAGTATGCAGCCTATATAAATGTTGAAATGACAAAATAGAACATTAGAAAATATAAAGCATCTGGCAAAGCAAATTTCAGAGACACATTATATTCAACAAAGAGTTGACTAAAATGAACCATGTATTGCTGAAAGTAACAAGTAGGATTATCATAAAATTTGCAGAACTGATACTAAATCATAAGTCACAACAACAAATTTTTATTAGATGCAGTTCTGGAGTCACTTCTTATTCATAGGGGGTAACTGCCTGACTAAATTATGGAAGTATTTTGGTAAAACTTACAAACCAAACCATCTAACACTTGATCCACTGAATTTACATAAATTTTAAGTTGATTTCATTTGAGTTGGTTCAAATTACCACACCGGAAGTCAGTCCATTTTCATGGTCCCCTATAAGAATGAAAAGAAGTTGAACAAGTTATTTAATGGAGACGTCAAAATTATTAGTACGTTAACTTCCAGTTGGATTGCATGCTATAGGTTTCAATATTTGAAAATATTATAATTTATTGTGTTTGTGACTTTGTTCCCTCAAAGAATACTGATAATTAAATTAATATTCTAATGTGACAAAGAACTGGAAATTATGAACTCCACATTCTAACAGATATGCTTGGATTGGAGCTTTATGTCTACATGGTGAGTTGCATAAATGGCACATGACAGTTTAGCAAGCAGCCTTTAAGTCACAAAATGTCATCATTCTTTGACAGGTGAACAATTTATAGAGAAGCCAAAAGGAGAATACCAAATAGATGGCAAACATTTGTACTAAATCACCCTCCATTTCACACAAGAATAACAAAAACCTCAGCCAATAATTGACATGAAAGAAGTATCTTATGCAGGTCCGCAAGTGGAATGACAGACAAATAAAATGTAACTCAGTTTCTTTGAAGCTTTATGTCTACATGGATAGCTACATAAACAGCATGTGACAGTTTATGAAAGCAGCCATTGAAGTCACAAACATCATTGATCTTTGGCAGGTGAACAATTTATAGACATGCCAAAGGAGCATATCACATGAACAGCAAATATTTTGTGACAAATCACCTTCCATTTCACACAAAAATACTGAAAAAATCTAGAACCGTTGACATGAAGGAAGATTCTTGTGCATGTCCACAAGTGCAATGGTAGATAAATGCAATGTACCTCAGTTTCTTTGAAGCTTTACATCTACATAGTTAGCTACATAAGCAGCAAGTGACAGTTTATGACAGCAGCCTTTTGAATCACAAGACGTCATCACTCTTTGACAGGGGATTCATTTATAGACATGCCAAAAGGAGCATATCACAAACACAGCAAATATACCAAATCACATTTCATTTCACAAGAATAACACTAACCTAGACCTATTGAGTATTGACATTAAGAAGATTCTTATGCATGTCAACAAGTGGAAAGACAGATAAATACAATGTACCTCAGTTTCTTTGCGATCCTGCTCAACCCAGGCCAAACACTTTTCAATCTCCTTAAACTTCTCCTTTTCATCCGCAATCTCCTCCTGCAACTTGATTTTCTGTTTTTCCCAAGCCAACAGCTTTTTTCGACACTTTTTCTCTCTTTTTTCAACCTCCAAACAGGTTGAGACTGATTCTGACGCACTTAACTTACAACCCTGCATCTCTGCTCTGATTTCTGCATTCTCAGTCTCAAGCCTTCCCGCAGCTGCATTTGCCCGGTCCACCTGACCACTTGCCTTCCTCAGAGCATTCTCCATCTCTGACAACCTCTTCATGGTTGAGTCCTCTAGTGTCTGTTTCCCTTTCTTCAACCTTTGCGTCTCTTCCCTATCCATCCTCAAAAGTTTAAGTTCCGTTAAGTCACTACTAAGCTTTCTAGCAGCTTGCATTGCCTTCTGGTGCGCCCAATCCTTTCTCTCTTTCACCTGCTTCTCAAGATCGTTAATCTGATTAAGTAGCATAACTATCATCTCATCCCTTTGATCCTTGCCTATGTTCTCATCAATATTCAAATTACAGAATTTACTCAACACCAAATCAACCCGGTCTGGATTTGTCAAATTCTGAGACTCTTCAGATTTCTTAAGAGGAACCTCACTTGCCAGTACAGCTGGAGGTGTATCCCCACCAGAAAATTGGTTAACACAGGGCAGACTCTCTCTCTGCATATGATTTGAATTAGCCCGGAAACCAGCTGCAAACATTGCAACATTCCTCTTCAACAACGACTTCATTGAAGGTGAAAGATTAAACCTCCTAGGGCACTCAATATCCCTATGCAAAGTCATCTCTGAGCTATATGAAAAGAAACCATTTAACGCAAACTCGGATCCTCCTCCACTTCCAAAGCCCCAACCACCATGAAACCTACACAGGGCTGGTGGTACAACACCATTCTCCAAGTTAGTTGATACTGTATTGGAACCGCTAGCTGATGAAGGAGAATGTGGGATCTCCATGGTACTAGCCCTACCCACATGAAGATCATTCATAAGCAAACACCACATGGCATCGCCTTTAGTCAAATGCGGTTTATATTGCTGCAACAAACACACCATACCCCCAAGGGAATACTCCTCCAATTGCCTCAAATCCGCAAAAACAGGCTCAGATTCGTCTGAATTCCCATTACTACTCGCACAACTATTATTCAAATAAGCCAATGAATTATCCAAAACACTCGTCAAAACATCCATGTCCCCATGACAACAATGCCCCTTTTTCAGTATCGCCTTCAAGGCAACATCCTCGTCATAGCCTAAAGCTACAAGCTTAGAAATCGCCTCATTATACAAGAATTCCAGGTTTTTCAAAAGAAATCCCTCTAATTGCTCTTCAGTGCAGTAACCCCAGCCATGATCATCAAAATTAGCATTACCATTGGGGTTAGGGCTTTGGCTTTGAGTAGAATCATTGAGACCCAGATGACAACTCCTGAGACCCGCCTCGATTATGGATTTGGAGACTGCCGCCTTGTCAAAGAAACAGCAAGGATCGAAACCGGGTTTCGCTGATCGATACCTGTTTGTACGGATATGCTTCTCCCTGACAGAACAACCCATCTCGGGGCGTCTCCTTGTTCTGCGTTTTTACGAGTGCGTATCAATGGAGTCAGAACGAGATTCAACAACCCTGCAAGGAAATCATTAGACGAAGATAAAAACGACATAAAAATGCAAAAAGCAAGCAGATTGCATCGAGAGAGACGGCCGGACTTACGGATTCAGCGGTGACGATGGGATAATATCGGAGTTTCAGCCGGGTCTGATTGTGCTGAAGAGAGCAACTGGAGGAAGAAGATTAATAAATGAGTGAGACAGGACAGGACAGGACAGGACGAGTAAATGTGTTCCTCCCTAGCCAAACACGGTGCTATTCGCACGTGCATGCACGCAACGTGTCAATTAAAGAAAGCTCCGGTACCCTTGGGCCTGGGTCCTGGAGTCTGGGCTTTAAACCCTATCCCGGACCAATCCATTCCAAAAAGTGAAAAACCGATGTATAACTTTATTACCTTTTCAAGATGTGGGCTGATCCAATCTTTTAAAAAACACAAGCCCACTGGACTAGTTATGATTCAGTCCATTTTCTACAACCTCTCAACCAGCTGAGCTCCCGAGTTCAATGGACAATATTATTATGAATGCTATTTTTTTTTTTATTGTATAACCTATAAAACAGAAATTATTAAATAAGAGACGATAATCTCTAATATCAAGATCTTGTTTTATCTAATGATTTAAATTGTAAAAATTGTATAACATTTTTTTGGATTATTTTTGAATATTACTTCTTATTTTAATTATATTTAGTACAGCTAGAGAAAAATCTTTTTATACTGAGAAAACTCCAGCTGTACTAAACACTATAATTTGTGAAAAATACTATAATTCCTTACAAGTTAATATTTTGCCTATTTCATTGCAAATCTCATAAGCACCAAATTAGTACTTTTGCAGAAGTTTCTCATTTGGGTTTTAATAAAATTAATATATTATTTTTATTTTATCTTTATTTTTCTCTATATTTATAAAAATAACATTTTTACAACAATTTCTTTTTAACATAACTTTTATTAAAAACTCCAACCATACCAAACGAGCACTTAATCCTATGTTTAGGTTGAGGAGAGGAGAGAGGAGAGGAGGAACAGAGGGAAGTAGAGAAAAAAAATTCTCCTCCTCTCCTTTCCCCTCATTTAATTTTCTTCCATTCAAACATACTATGAATGAAGATGTTTTTTTTATGGAGAAATCATTAGATTGAATTAATTTTGTACAAATTATTCCTAGAAATATGATATTCTAATAATGGATCAATTGCTTCTCTCCTTAGGAAGTGTGGTTGAAAATTACACATCGAATCTTTTGGTCTGGTGTTAGATCTGCAGGGTAGCCCATGGATTGAATTGTCAGCATCAGATTTAATAGGGCAACAAATCTAGACAAAAGAGGGCTTAATTTCATTTATGTTTGTTGTCAAAAAGGACACATTTAGCTTATTGTCTTGCCCCATTTGCTCCCTGCTGTCATATCATACATTTTCTTTCAGTTTGAAGATGGATGGATCAGATAAGCTTAAGGCCTCAATTATAGAATCATTTCATTTGTAAATCAAGTTCACTCCAATCTTGAGGCTGCATATGGAGACCTTAATCCTTATCTTTGGAAGGTTTTTGACCCCACTCCATCCCAGGCACGCTCTCTGTCATAGTGTCATGCCATGAAATCATCAGATTATCAGAATCCTTTTGTTTAGGATCAGGATTTGCTGCCTCTATCATTTCACTGCAACAAATGGTAAAGACAGCAGAGCTGCCTATTCTTTCTTTTCCCACTCATGACTTTTATGAATACAACCACACCAGCCACAAGAGGGTAGCATAATCATAATGTCTTTGTGATGCATCATCTCAAATGTAAAGACATAAATCAGACTGTTTTTAGAAGCCTGGTCCAGCAAGTACTGTGAGAGTTCCTTATTTCTACCCTGGGAAAATGACATTTTTTATCCTGTTGGCATTTCCCTTATTAGAAAGTAAAAAAAAAAAAAAAAGTGTCAAACTTCACATAAACACGGCATGTGGCATGAATCTGTTGTAACAGTGAAACCCTAAGTAAGATGGGTTATTGTCGGCAGGGGGACCAGCATATAGAGTGCCTAGTTTAGTGCCCTCTGGATTCCCCTACGTTCAAAACTAATTATAATTCACATTCCAGTGATTATGTCTCATGGTAGGGTTAATGTTCTTTTCAATCTGAACTGGCAATGATTAAAAACCACAATAAAAACAGTTTTGAAGATGATTAAAAGGATTTTTAATAATTTCTAGTCCAAACCAGCATTTATTTATTGCCAATCCTGACTGAGAAGAACATTTCTCTTCAATCCAAGAAAATGTTAGATTGGTCAAGATCAGAGGTTCAAGCCAAGCAGCTAACCTCCAATGTACCAAAGAAAAAAAAATGTTAGATTGAAAGGAAACGAGGATACTACAAAAAACAACCAGATAGAAACATAAAATTAAGGGGCAATTCATTAGAAGGGTTCAAAACAAATATAAGCAACTTATTTACTCCCTAAGTAGAAGCTTAAGTTTAAAGTATTGTTGGACATTTCTAGAATGAAAAAGGCAAGAATATCCAGTTTAGAATGCGGAGAAATGCCAACAAAAGTACAACATGGTGGTCCCTTTCCTATTTTTACATACTTATCTGTGAACATGATATGCATCGCTGCAGTAAAGCCACTGCCCATACTCCATGGACTGTTTTCTCACCATACAAACTTTTGTCTCTCCCCAACTCTAACCAACCAAGGCTGCAAAACATAACTTCATCCAGTGCATTTATACTCTTACCATTTTCTTGATTTCTGGATTGCTGACATGTTCTCCAACTTATCTTTGTGTATTGTTTCAAATCTTATGCTTAAATATTTTGAACATGTGCTTAATGCACAAGAAACAATGTTTGAGTGAATTTAACAGGTGCCCTTGACAAATGTTTAATTTAATTGTGGACCTGCAACTACCAATCCACCTAAAGAAGATTAATGCATGTAATTTAGAGTTGATCCTTTCGCCCACTCCACCGCATCCCTAAAGAAAAGATACTGCACCACAGTTAAGAGTTTTGGTTCTGCAATACATACCATAGAGCCACAATGCCTGCTGATAGACGGTCCTGATTCAATTCTGCCATGCAATGTGGTTCAGTCCAAGCCCTCCATCTTCCCTTGAGAAAGGAGGATGTGGCTAAATACTCACCTTACATGCATGAAATGTTTTACACGAAACCAAAGCATAAGTCAGAGAGAGAGGAAGACATAAGACAGAAGTGGTCCCCATGGTTTTTAACAAAGTTGATCTTGATGTGCCACCAAAGTAACTGGAAGTTAACCATATCCACTTTTATGTGGAAAAAAAAAGGGTGAAAATGATAAGAGAAAATGAAATATAAGGAAAATAGAAATAAAAGAATCTCATCACAGCTTCCTCAGGACAAAAGAAAATGAAAGCAGACATTAAAGCTTAAAAATTAGAATCAAAGGAGAAGGAAAACAGTAAAAAAGATCTATTTATAACACCAGCTTCTTTCTTCCCTATCTTGGTCTATTCCTCACTTGTATCCTCTCTTTCTCCCTCTCTCACTTCATCTGCAAATTGTGTACAGGTATATTTTTGCCTCACTTCACCATGCTTCAACTGAATTTTATTGCCTTTTAATTGCCTTCAAGCTTCTGCTTTTCTGCTTATACCAAACACACTTTGTAGTATAATTTCCAAGTAAGGTTTCAAGCATCTTGTTAGATATGCAACACTCTCACACCCTTTTTTCATTTTTTCCCTTCTCTCTCTCTTGCAATTCTAACTGTTTAATTGGTATAATTTCCATTACAGTGTATTGAGTTCGCGAACTAAGTATATTCCAGTATCTGCTCACTCCCAAGTGCTGCCTTCTTTTTTGATTTTTTCTTTTCTCGGACATGGTGAGGGTGGGAAATAGATCACGTTCTTTGTTTCAAAGGTTGTAAGCTGTTAGAAGATTGGAAGAGAAAGTGTACCATCTGACTGATTCTGCAATGCCAGTTCCTCTTGCTCCATATCCGACACCTCCAGCACCATATTCACCACCAGCTAATGGTATATGTTCCTCTATCCCGTAACAGATTTATCTTGAAACAACTAGAACTCTGCAACTCTTTTGTTCCTGAAAGAAGAGAAGGAACGTTTAAAAAACCATGGTTAGTTGCAACCACTTTATAATAAGATGGATAACTTTTTCAGATTATATATTTTCTTACTTTCATCTTCTAATTCTCATGAAGAAAATGATCCAAATACTTTTAAGTACTGTCATAAAGTTCAGGAAAAGAAAAAGAAGAGATTCAAGTTGAATATTACAATCTAAGACCAATTGGAAAATCAAAAAGTAGAATAAATGGCATTTCTGATATGCGAACCACAGAACTTCTGTTATTAATAGACATTGGACAATTAAGGCTTTCCTTCTTTGTTTCTCCTTCTGATTTCCTTTTCAATGTGCATGTTGCAATGAATAA